CTGAAACCATGACTCCCTATCAGTCCATTCTCAAGGATTTTCAGCCCTCATATGACTCAAAAGCTGTGACTCTTGCTGATCTTGGCAAAGTACCAATCAAAGGAGTCGGCAAGCTTGAGTTCGAAAAGGATGGTAAGTCATTTTGTGTCAATAAAGCTTTGTTTGTTCCTGATTTGGGAGCAAACTTTCTCTCAGCCGGACAACTCGAAGAGAAAGGTGCCTCCGTTCTCTTGCAAGGGGGGAAAGCCAAAGTGTGGGACAGTGCAGGAAATCTGGTGGCTGAAGGCGAGCGTACCGGGCGGCTCTACAAGATGAAGTTGGAGATTAAGCGCGGTGCTAGCAACACGAAGAACGACGTTGTCTCGCTTCCCGCTGTTTCAACCGATCAAGTCAACAACAAAGGGAGTATCTCCCAAGCTGAGGTATGGCATGCACGCTTGGGGCACGTGGGAGTGCAAGCATTGAAAGAGTTGGTAAATCACAAGAGCGTGGAAGGATTGAGTTTGAATGAAAGTGCAGTCAAGTCCCTTTCTTCCGTTCCATGTCCATCTTGTGTGGAAGGTAAACTAGCTAGAAAGCCATTCTTCCCTTCTAAGTCTCAGTCAAGGGACCTCCTAGAGTTGGTCCACACTGATGTCTTCGGCCCCATGCGAGACCCTACTCGAAACGGTAAGAGATATTTGGTGTCTTTCATTGATGACAAGAGTCGTTTCTCGTGGTCCTTTTTCATCAACACCAAGGATGAAGTTCACAAGTGTTTCAAGCAATGGCTAGCACTTGTTGAGAGAGAGTCAGGGAAGAAGTTACTCACCTTGAGGTCGGATCGAGGAGGTGAGTACATGGGGAAATCGTTTCAGGGGGAGTTGTTGGCATTGGGCATCAAACAACAGTTCACTTGTCCCTATAGTCCTCAGCAAAATGGAGTGGCAGAGAGGTTTCATCGCACTATCCAGGCTATAGCTACCACTTTCCTTCAGTTCAAAGGCCTTGACAAGCTCTGGTGGGGTGAGGCAATCACTATGGCAATTTATGTTCGCAACAGGAGACCCACAAGGCCCTTACCGGAAGGTGTAACGCCATATGAGGCTTGGTTTGGAGTTAAACCAGATCTGTCTATGCTTCGTGTTTTTGGTTCCATGGCCCAATACCGTGTTCCAGATGCAAAGAGACTCAAGCTGGACAGCAAAGCTCATTGGGGCCTCTTCATCGGCATGAGCAATGAGAGCAAGGGATGGGTCCTTTGGGATCCTGTCACCAAGCGAGAAGTGGTTTCAAGGGATGTTGTCTTCTATGAAGACATGTCCCTTGCAGGTTGGCATAAGTTTTCCTCTTCCTCCTCTCTATCCTCTATCCAACAGGAACCAGCAAGCGCACCTGAGGAAACAACACAAGAGGAGGAAGAAGATGACACCGATTCTGACCATAGCGGACCGATCATCGATCTCCCTCAAGCCGTCGTCAACGAGTCCAACCGTGCCACGCCAGTGCCACCAGCAGCTACTCAACCAAGTGGAGATGAAGTTCAGCCATCAAATGAAGACAATCCACCGCAGCAAGTCACCGTTCCATCACCACCAAAGGAGCAGCAGCCAACAGTCACAAACCAGCCAGCTATATCAACACCAACCTCACAATTTCAATGCCAACCGGATCAGCCCACCACTACGCCATCAAACCCATCACCAGCCATCACTCCAGAGGCAACTACAGAAGCTCATCATCATCCCATGCAGCAGCAATCAACAGCTACAAGACCCCAAGTACCTACATCAACACCATCTACGACTCTTCCTAGCAACAAGTCAACCGTCACCGCAACACCTCGTTCTCATACCACACGTTCATCACTTGTTCCAACGTCAAGCCAGCTCATAGCACGAGGATCACTTCAGCGAGTCACCACCAACACCAGCTCCAACAGTCCACTTCTTCACCCAAGACCTTTCTCAACTTCACCCCCACGTCCCGGATTCGGTCGTCATCAGTTACCACCATCTTCAACACCGAGCAACAACACCAACCAGCCCCAACCATCACCACCTCTCGACAAGGCAGCGTCATCATCAATTCCCAAGCTTCTAGTCTCAAGATCCCCACCAAGAGCATCTTCACAACCAACTATGCCGACAAACGTTTCAGCTTCACCGCCACGAGTCACCATACCTAATCCTCAAGTCAACACCGATAATCAAGATATTTCCACGCCAGGAGAAGAACAAGCAGCCGTGCCGCCGTCGCAGCCGATGTCGCAGCCGTTGTCTCAGCCGCAAATGACCGCATCAACGCAATCAAACACTGTGAGACCGAACCCTACCACTAATGTGTCTCAGCCAACTGAGGAGTTTGGTAAAGGTAAACGAGTCCACAAGGTAAAAAAGCCCTTCAATTTCATGGTTGACATGTCATCAAGGTGCACATGTGAGGAGAGTGAGAATTGCATTCACAAGAAGGTAGAGGCAATATGCATGGCAGCATCACACCTTCCGCGAGAGCCCTTGAGTCGTCGTGAGGCAATGGCAAGTCCCGAAAGAGAGCATTGGTTGAAAGCCGAGGAAGAGGAGATTGAGAGTCTCATGAAGCGAGGTACATGGCGTCTTGTTGAGCCACCTCCAGGGAAGAAGGTAATTGGTGTCAAATGGGTGTACAAGATCAAGGTAAAAGGTGATGGTAGCCTCGATAGGTACAAGGCAAGGTTAGTGGCAAAAGGTTATTCCCAAATTCCAGGTCTTGACTTCACCGAAACCTTTGCCGTGGTAGCAAAGTACACCACGGTACGAGTCCTCCTCGCCATAGCCGCATATCTTGGTCTCCATATCCATCAAATGGATGTCAAGAACGCATTTCTCTACGGTGTCTTGGAAGAAGAGGTATACATGGCACAACCCGAAGGTTATGATGACGGTACGGGTCGAGTGTGTCGCTTGGTAAAGTCCCTTTATGGTCTCAAACAGTCCCCACGGGTTTGGTATCATGCTCTTGAGCAGGTACTTTTCAAGCATGGTTTCACAAGGTCCATGCGAGACAACGCTCTGTACTTCATGCACACGAGTGAGGGGGAGTACATTTGGCTCTTGGTATATGTCGATGACCTCCTCCTAGTCTCAGGTTCTCTTGATCTTCTCAACAAGGTGAAAGGTATTCTCACGAGTGCATTCACGATGACCGATCTTGGTGAGCCGAGTCATTATCTTGGTATGAACATTGTGAGAGATCGTAAGTCACGGTCCATCTTCCTATTCCAGCAAAGGTACATCCAAAAGGTCCTTGAGAGGTTTGGTCTTGATGATAGCAAGCCATCACCTACCCCACTTCCTTCCAAATTTGTCCCTTTGTCTTCACATCAGCCCTATGAAGAGAGAGAGTCAAGCCTTGATATCATAGGTATTAAAGAGTTGTGTCTTGAGGAGAGTGAGCATCATGGTGAGAATTCACTTAAGGTATCCCCACAAGACCTAGCTCTGTACCAAAGTCAGGTTGGGTGTCTCATGTATGCAGCCCTATGCACAAGGCCCGACTTAGCATTCACGGTATCTAAGCTAGCTCAACACATGAGTGCCCCTTCACCTATTCATATGCATGCAGCCAAGCGAGCTCTTCGGTATCTCAAAGGTACTTCTAATCATGGTCTTCTCTTCCAAGCCAGCCCATATGCAAGCTCCCTCCAAGGCTTTACCGATGCAGATTGGGCGGGAGAATTGAGCACACGCAAGTCTACCGGCGGCTACATCTTCCTCATGTGTGGTGCCGCTGTTTCTTGGCAATCGCGCAAGCAAAGTTGTGTGGCACTTTCAACAACCGAAGCTGAGTACATGGCAATGACCGAAGGAGCAAGGGAGGCAATCTGGTTACGTGGACTCTTGGAGGAATTGAGGCAGCCGCAAACTCAACCAACTCCGTTCTACGTGGACAACACTTCAGCCGTAGCTCTTTCCAAGAACCCGGTTCATCATGGGCGTACAAAACACATCGAGGTGCAGTACCACTTCATTCGTGAGCAACTAGAGAAGGGAGTTCTCGCCGTCAACTTTTGCCGTTCATTCGATCAAGCAGCAGATTTCATAACCAAGGTTCTTCCACATGATGCATTCAACATGTGCAAGGCAAGAGCAGGCCTCATGACACTTCATGAAGCAGTGGAGCAGTTTGAGGAGAATGAGGAGTGTGAGGGGAAGAGACGTGGGCAGCAGCATGAAGTGTATGCTAAGGAGATGTGAAAGGAGCATCAGCATGGGTGTATGTGTGCTTCGGGTCTGGTGCGAGGGGGAGTGTTGGAGAATCGAGTTTCTGCCGCCCCAGCCCTTTGCACACAAGCAGCAGCAAGGGGGAATGTCGGCGATGAATCAGAGCTTCGGGAAGTACTTCGAAAGTTCCACCACCAATCAGATTTCAGCCGAAGACTCGATATAGTTCAAAGCTGCCTTCAAACCGAAGTGTTGGCAGTTTCTACAGGTTTCTACACATCAGAATCAGCTATAACAGAAATATCCAGAGTTTTCTTATTCATGCACCTCATGTGGCACTCAAAGTCACTCAAGGTTCATCCAATCTAGATTGTGCCCAAGTTACCAGGGAAGTTACATTGTCTATCAGCCTAGTTTGAGCTTTCAATCTGTCTTGTTTGTGATGCCTAGAGTTGTGCTTTAGTGGGCTTGTTAATCTTGAACATAGTGAAGTTTTACCTCATCCAGTCAATTCCAGCAGCCCTGCTAAGACTTTCCAGCCAATTTTCCAGCCCTCCAGTAGTCACAGCTACTCTGTTTTACAAGTCATCGATCCCCTCCCACGATCGATCCTGGCAAATTGAAAACAGAGGCCTCGTCCTCATTAGCTAGGCGTAGGAAAGAGCACCCGCGTCATGTGCCCGTCAGTGGCTCCCGCCCCCTTGCTCGCAATCTAGCGCGTTACCTTGGCGGTCGACTAGAGCTGATTGTTAGCTCTACTTGAGATTGGAAGAGGAAATTTTCATTGTTACTAGATACCTTTATATCGCGAACGCAGCGATGGACGACAATGGCGAGGATTGCGTGTACTTCGGGCGCGCGTTGGAGCGCGAGGAGGGCGCGGGGGGCCGCAAGCTGCACCTGGCGGTGGCGGAGGGGCGCGCGAAGCAGGCGGTGCCGCCGTGGCAGCAGGAGGCGCGCGACGATGAGGGCAGGCGGCGGTTTCACGGCGCGTTCACGGGGGGCTTTTCCGCGGGGTACTTCAACAGCGTGGGGTCCAAGGAAGGTACGAGGCACCTGCCATAGGCTTGGAGCCCAAAACCGGTGAGAGGAAGCAAAAGGAGGGGTGCAGGGAAGGTTATTCCACCCCTTGCCGCCATGCGAGCGTGCGCCTTTCGCGCGCTGGGACTCTCTCTCGGATTCTCGCGCCAGTAGGCGCCGATGCGGCTGTTCCCTCGCCTGCTGTCCCCCTTGCTGCCGCTGTCCTGCTCGTCTCGCTGCTTCCTCAGTGGTCCGCTCGTCGGCACGAGGGGCGAGGTGACGCAACGCCCGAGGGGGCGACGGCAGCATCACTCATCCCACTGCTCTCCCCTTCCACCCCCGAACCCCCTCTCTTCATCCCAACCCCCCGCGTTGATCTGCCCGCCAACCCCTCACCATCCAACGCAGGGTGGCAGCCAGCATCGTTCCGCTCGTCGCGCTCGCAGCGCGCGGAGGTGCAGCCGCAGCGCGTGGAGGCGCTCATGGACGCCGACGAGCGCCACGACGCGCAGCGCGGCGCCGTGGCGGCCCAAAGCGCGTTCGACACGTTCGGCTTCACCGCTGCTGAGCGCGCCCGCCAGCTCGCCCCCGCCGCGGACCGGCGCCCCTCCGTGATCCCCGGAGGGGCCGTGGCAGAGCTGCTGGCGCCCGCTGCTGACTCCATCGGTGCGGCAAGGGGGGAAGGGAGGGGGGAGGCAGGGGGAGGGAGGGGCTGCGCCAGAGGAGGCAGGGGGAAGGGACAGCTGGATTGGATGGGTGGGGTGGCTTGTTGCCATTGGACTGGCTGCTGACTGCTGGGAGTGCAATGTGGAAACGTTATCCCTTCCCTGTCTGCCTGTGCACTCCACTTGTACCACGTCCCCCAGCCAACCTGTGCGTCTGTCCTCTGCTCTTCACGTCTCAACCCATTGCCTCAGTGCCCCATGCACTTGCATACCTCCTCCCCCCCCACTTTCCTTCCACCTCTCCCACTTCCCGCCCCTCTCCAACCCCCCTCCTTAATCCAACACGCTTCACATTCCCCCCTCCACCAACCTTCCCCGCTCCTCCCGTCCCCCTTCCCCAACCACCCAAGCCAGGCAAGGCGCTGCTGCGCAGGATGGGGTGGAGAGAGGGCAGGGGGCTGGGGCCGGACGAGGTGGCAGCTTCCAGGAAGGTGCAGCGCGAGGGCAGGCGGGCAATGCTGGCGCTGGCAGCGGGAGGAAGAGGGCGCGGGGAGGGGGGAGGAGACGATGATGGGGAGGCAGAGGGGGACGAGGACGATGAGGAAGGGGACGCATGGGGGGGTCGAGAGGAGATTGTGGGGAAGGGCAGGGGGGCAAGGGGTGGCAAGGACGGGGGGGGCGTTGGCGGCAGCAGCGGCAGCAGAGGCGGCGGTGGCGGCGCAGCTGAGGGCGCCCAAGCGGGACACCCGGGGTGTGGGCTTCGATGCTTTCCAGGGCGCTGAGGATGTGCGAGGTCAGGCGTGCAGAGGGGTGGTGAGGCGTGCAGAGGGGTGGTGAGGCGTGCAGAGGGGTGGTGAGGCGTGCAGAGTGGTGGTGACTGGCATACTTGCAATGACTGCCATATGTGGAATGTCCCCTTGGTAATACTGTCTGCCATGCGTGCAAGGACCACTGAAGCTCTTCTTCCTCCCCGTTGCGTGTCACTCTCATTGCTCACTACAACTCCCTCATCCCGCCTTCCCGCCTTCCCCCTCCCTGCCTCGCCCGCCTCTCTGTTCTCTGGGGAGTGGGAGCAGAGCACAGGCAAAGGACGGCAGGGGGGGCGAGGGACGGAGGGGAGAGGGGGGGAGAGAGGGGCCTGGGTGGGCGGCGCAGGGCGGGTGGTGGCAGGCAGTCACTGTTTGCGGCGGGCAGTGGGCGGGTGGCGGGGGGGTTTGGCATCGGGGCTCTGGAGGAGGCTGGGGCTGAGGATGAGGATATCTACGACTTCGGTGAGATGCTGTGCGGTGGAGTTCGGTGGTGGTGGGTGAGGAGCGAGAGTGTGTTGTTGTGCAAAGAAAAGGTTGACTGCATGTGGTGGCTCGTTACCATGGTGGCACGTTACCATGGTGGCACGTTACCATGGTGGCACGTTACCATGGTGGCACGTTACCATGTGAGTAACTTCCTTGCTTTCCTCCTTCACTGCGCCCTTTTCTTCATGCGCACTGCGCTCACCCCCTTGCCCTCTCCCCCCGTACGCCCTCCCCCCCCGTGCGCCCTCCCCCCCCGTGCGCCCTCTCCCCCCGTGCGCCCTCTCCCCCCGTGCGCCATCCAGAGATACCGGCGGGCGAGCTGCACCAAGTGGCGAGCGACGAGGACGACGAGGGGGAGGGGCGAGGCGTGCATGCTGGCGGGGGCTTCATGGCCGCAGGCAGGCGCGGGCAGCAGGGGGGGCAGCAGGGGGCGCAGGGAGGGGCGCAGCAGGGCATGGCGTGGATGGGAGGGGTGGGCCGTGGGAGCAGCTCGGCTGTGCTGCGGGGCTTCTGTGAGGGGCGCGTGGCGCTGGAGGAATGCAAATGGTACTGCTGCCTGCCCCCCCCTTGCCTCACCCACACTCACTGCAGCCCAATGTGTGTGCTGTTGCTTCTGTTGCCTCTGCCACATGCCTTCCTGCCCACCACGAGCCTTGCTCCCTGCCCACCACGAGCCTTGCTCCCTGCCCACCGCACTGCTTCTTTCCTTAGCTGCAAGTCCGCGTTCACTTCCACCCACACTGCTTCACTGTCAACCAACCACGCCTTTTCACACACATGCTGCTCTCCTACCTCCCACCCTCCCTCCCACCCTCCCTCCCACCCCCCCACCCACCCACCCTCCAGGTACCCGCCCCCCCACGTGCCCTCCTCCTTCACCCCCCACCACGTCTTCCCCTCCTCCCCACCCCCCTCCGCCATGTCAGCGCCCTCCACACTCGCCCCGCCGCCAGCCCCTCCCCCCACAGACGCGGCGGTGCAGGCGGCGGTGGAGGGCGTGGCGGCCATGGTGGCGCGCTGTGGGGCGCACGTGGAGGCGCTGCTGCTGTCTCGGGCAGGGGGAGGGGTGGGGGAAGGGGCGCAGGAAGGCATGGTGCAGGGCGCAAGCGCGAGGGAGGGAGGGGGAGGAGAGGGCAGTGCGCGGCTGGCGTTCCTGGTGGGCGGGGAGGGCAGTGCGTACTACCGGCGGCGCGTGTGGGAGCTGGCGGAGAGGCAGAGGGCCGCCCAGGGCAGGGCAGCAGCGGGCAAGGCGGTGGGGAGCAGTGGGGGGGAGCGCCTGGGGCCTGATGCGCGGGGCGCGCTGCTGGGCGAGCAGCCCCTGCCTTCCTCCCAGCCTGCCCCTGCTCCACGTCTATCAGCGCACCCCACACCCACCTCAACTGCTTTTCCTGCTGCTGCAGCTTCTGCCTTTACTTCTGCCACATCTCCTGCTGCTCCCCCTGCTCCCACCGTGCTGGCCTTCCAGCAGCACGGGGCGGCGGCTGAGCTGGCAGCGATGATGGCGGCGCGCTTCCACAGCAGCGGGCATGAGGATCGGGCGGGCAAGGGCGGCATGAGCAGTGAGAAGGCGGCGCTGCCTGCTGCACCCGGGGCAGGCACTGCGCTGGCAGGGGCGGCAGCAGTGGTGGTGGCTCGGCGGAGGGAGGAGGCGTGGAGGCCGCTGCCTCTGCTGTGCAAGCGCTTCAACCTGCCCGACCCGTACGCGGGCAAGGTGAGATGGCCGTGCCACCCTGTGCGCTTAGTTGGGCATCTCATATGTTTGCATAGTACATGTAACCTCATTGAAAGTTTGTATGCTTTGTATCATGTGAAAATACGTAGTGCTTACGGGCTGACCGGGAAACAGAGAGGAAAAAAAGGCTGCGACACTGATGTTGCAGAATCCTTCCAACTAAGCCTGTGAGGCAGCCCACAGACAGGTGACGTTGGAAGCCGTGTGTTGTCGTCTGGTGGCAACCAGTTCCTTCCTTGATGCGCGCACTGGTCGGCCAGCACGCCTCTGCTTGCCTGCCACCAGATTTCCCCGCTGCTCCCTGCCCCTTCCCACACGTCCACTCCCCTTCTTCCTCCCCCCGTGTATTCTGCCCGGCTGGTCCCACTGCCATGCCTGCCGCCCAAGTGGTTCACTCTGCTTGCACGCTGCACCTCTGCGCCGCACACCCGTGCGATTCTCTGCAGTCAACCCGGTCACAGCACATCGATCCACTTGTTCACCTTTTCACACGGCTTTCTTCTCTCTCCTCTCTCTTCTCCTTTTCCGTGGTCCCTCCACAACAGGCCCCTCCCCCCCCTCTCCACCGTCCCTCTCAGCTCGACACCCTCACCTCCTTCCCCCAAACCCTCCCCTCCACCACGCCCGCCCCCACTGCTGCCCCCACTGCTGCCCCCACTGCTGCCCCCACTGCTGCCCCCACTGCTGCCCCCTCGCCTCTCCTCTCCCTCCCTGCGCCTCCTCCTGCTGCGCCTGCCATGCCTCCTGGCCGTGATGGATGGATGGAAGGACACGAGGAGGGACACGTGAGGGAAGCGATCGGGGGAGGGAAGGATGACACAGGACGGGGGGGAGAGGAAAGTGCGGGAGTGTGGGAGGGGGAGGGGGAGGGGCAGGCAGCAGCGGAGGCGGTGAAGAACCGCCCCATGGACCTCTTCAAGGTGCCCCCCGCCTGCTCTCCCATGATCCCATCCCCTGCTCTTGCCGTTTTCTCTTTCTCTTTTATCGTCACTCTTGGTAGTCGTGAAGTTTTTACATTTGTGTTCCGTTAAACACTCACGTCACCTGCTTCTGTTTCCCTGTCTCCTTACTGCCCTCTGCTGCCAGTTTGTGACTCCAACTCCACCTGTCCCGCCACCCTGCACGCTCCCCTTCGCTCCAGGCAATCTTTTCGGATGATGAAGACAGCGACGACGATGCTCGTGCCACATCCGCAGCGCCAGGTGGCATTGATGACGTGGCAGCGGCAGAAGCTGCCACGCGGGCTCTTGCCCGGCTGGAGGCAGGTGACTTCCTGGAGGGGCTGGGCGAGGAGCTGGGCTTGCAGGTGGACCCGGGGGAGGTGCGACGCGGGGCAGGGGGCGAGGGCAGGCGAGAGGAGAGGGAGGGCAGCAAGGGTGCGAAGCGGGAGAGTAAGGCGGGAAAGGGGAGGGCAGGAAAGGAGCAGGAGGGTGGTGTGTGGGGCCAAGGGGGTTATGGCGCTGGCATGGCAGGCAGTGCGGAGGGTGCAGTTGAAGCAGGGCGGGCGGAACGGGCCAGAGAAGGAGTTGAGAACGTGGTAGGTGGAAGCGGGGCGAGTGAGGCAGCTGTGGGGGAGGAGCGGCAGAGTGATCAGGGAGACAGTGGAGGTGGTATGGCTGATGCACATGGACGCACGAGAGGTGGTGCCATGGGGGAAGGAAGGTGCGCACTTGCTGCTGCCGCTGCTGTCGCTGCTGTCAAGAAGAAGAAGCGTGTGCTGACGTCATCGTCGTCGTCATCAGCATCGTCGGGGTCTGACTCGGATAGCGCAGGCTCTTTGTCTGGTAGAGGGGAGGGGAGGAGGAGGAGGAAGGAGGGGGTGAAGAAAAGGAGCAATAAACGGTCACGAGAGACTGATGGGGGGAAGAAGCGACGGAAGAGGACGAAGAGACGAGACAGCGGGAGTACAGGAAGTGAAGAATCAGATCATGCAGCGAGGAGGAAGAAGCACAAGAAGAAGGCATCACGGAGAAAGCACCACAGGGGAAGGCATGAGAGCAGCAGTGAGAGCGATGGGAGCAGCAGTGAGGGTGACAACTGTGGGAGTGACAGCAGCAGCGAGAGGAGACACACCAAGAGCAGACGGCGGCATGGTGATAAGGGGGGGCGCAAGAGGCGGAACAAGTGACGTGATGGGTGAATCGAATGTTTTGTGACGATGTTTCAGAAGCTATGTGGTATATATGGTGATGAAGTTTTGCTGGTGGGAGTTGTCAGGATTGTCAATGGGACATGCCATATATTGAAGCGCGCGGCCCAAGTTACGAGTCAAGTTTTTTGAACTCTAATGTCGAGGGCTGTGCACGAGCGTGTTGAACAAGGTGCACCATAATCCCCCATATAGTAGACCCGGCGAAATAAAGCACCTGTGTTTGTTATATCCGGGGTGTGGCAGCACCCCGTTTTCAGATTGGATATAGCACCCCACCCCACCCTCCCCCACCATTTTTAAGTGCCCCTGCAATTGTTTCAGCTGGCGAAACTTCAGTAAACATCTGCACAAGCATACAGTACAAATTACACTACAAGCATACTCCTCACTTCAACATGCATCATTTCGTCGCACGTGCCATGCATGATGCATCCCAGCACATGCCCTGCATCCCAGCAGTATTATTTCTCCACATCAATCCACGGCCGTAAAACCGTGTTCAACTGCTCATTGCTCCACCCGCATTCGCGCACACACAACCGGGTAACCTGCCTCTCATCCACTATTAACCTGCCTCTCACCATCCCGGCTGCACCTTGTTAAAGTCCCACATCCAGCTCCTTCAGCTGCGGCATGTCACATTTCTGCAGCTTGCTCGTCGCCGGCCGCAGCTTGCTCGTCGCCGGCCGCAGCTTGCTCGTCGCCTGTGTGCCTGCGAGCGCGCTCACCTGCGCGCCCGCTCGCGTGCCCTTTATAGCTATCCTCACTCTAGCCTAACACACAAACATGTTTGGACACACCCCCATAGGCTAAGTGATGGACAGCAAGAGTCACGAATGGTCACAAGACCAGTTAAGAGAGGAAACACAACCAAGCTCAGGGTGGGTCTCAATTACAACACAGTACAAGCACAACCAAGCGGCCACAAAGCCAGTTCACATGTAGTGTTATAGTAGCAATAACAATACAGTGATCACAATCTAGCAAGAGTGCATTTGTAGGTATAGATATATATGACAGAGTGTAACAAGTAAGGCAACTCACTTCTCCTGATTTTTTTCCAAGTCCTTAAAATCATTAAGGCTATGAGATCCTTTCACTGCACGTGTTGCAGAACCTGACTTGTGCGGTCCACCCCTATGAGGTGCGGATGCAATGTGAGCAGCTGCCTGTTCGAAACGGTTGCCTTTGTCAAATGTTATATCTGCTACAGTTTGTTTAGGCTGTAGTGGGGTAGTTACTATGGGGTACAGTAAGTTTAGGGTTTCCTACTTGTACCCAACTCTTTCATAGTTCAATCACTCTTGTTGATTCTAACATGGTATCACGAGCCTAAGTTGCCACCTAGGACCGCTTACTACTACGGGCCCACTATTCCGCTAGAAGCGCCCTCGTGCGCCCTTCTCTGCTCGTGCGCCCTCGTGCGCCTTTTTTTTTCTGCTAGTGCGCCCTCGCGCGCCTCGCCCTTCGTTCTGCCCGCGCGCCGTCCTGCAGCCCTCGCGCTGCCTCCTGCTGCCCTAGGCCAGTGCGCCGCCCCTGCAAGTTAGTAAGGCCCTCGAGCCGCCCCTGCAGGCCCGTCAGGCCCCCGAGCCGCCTCTGCAGGCCCGTCAGGCCCCCGAGCCGCCACCTACAGGCCCGTCAGGCCTGTGAGCCGCCCCTGCAGGCCCGTCAGGCCCCCGAGCCGCCTCTGCAGGCCCGTCAGGCCCCCGAGCCGCCAACTACAGGCCCGTCAGGCCTGTGAGCCGCCCCTGCAGGCCCGTCAGGTCTGCGCGCTGCCCCTGCAGGACCTTGCCGCCCGACCGCGTGCCGTCCCTGCCCGCGCGCAGCCTCTGCCCGACCGCGCGCCGCCCCTGCAGGCCCTCGACGCCCGCGCGCAGCCTCTGCCCGACCACGCGCCGCCCCTGCAGGTCCTCGCCGCCCGCGAGCAGCCTCTGCAGGCCCGTCAGGCCAGCGCGCGACCCCGTCAGGTCGCTGTCGCGGCCCCGTCAGGCCGCAGTCGCGGCCCCGCCTTATCGCTGACGCGGCAGCGCCCTGCTGCTGACGCGGCCGCGCCCAGCGGGTGACGCGTCGTCGCCTCCTGCCCGCCGCGTCGCCCTGCCCGCCGCGTCGCCCTGCCCGCCGCGTCGCCCCTGCCAGCGGCGTCGCCCCTGCCCGCCGTGTCGCCCTGCCCGCCGCTTCGCCCTGCCCTACCCCGCGCCTGGCCCCTGGAGCAGCCGCACCTGCAGCCGCCCCTGGCCCCTGGAGCGGCCGCCACTGGAGCAGCCGCCACTGCAGGAGCCGCCCCTGGAGCAGCCGCCCCTGGAGCAGCGGCCCCTGGAGCAGCCGCCCCTGGAGCAGCCGCCCCTGGAGCAGTCGCCCCTGGAGTAGCCGCCCCTGGAGCAGCCGCCCCTGGAGTAGCCGCCCCTGCAGCAGCCGCCCCTGGCCCCTGGAGCAGCCGCCCCTGCAGCAGCGATCGTCGCGGCCCGCTCCCGCCCTGCAGCAGCTGCCGCGGAGCTTCCTGCCGCGGTCACGGCCCCGCCCTGCCGCTGCAGCGGCCCCGCAGCCGCCTCCGTCGTGCGCCTGCCCTTCCCACCACTGGTGAGCACTGCCCTGCCCGTGCTGCTACTGTTGTTACTGCTGCTGCTACTGCTCCTGCTGCTCCTGCTGCTACTACTTCTACTGCTGCTCCTGGTGTGGCCAGATGCAGCTCCAGGGCCGTCCGCGTGTGTCCCTCACGCCCCAGCAGCTTCGTGAGTGGTACGCCAGTTGGGGTTGTCGGGGTGGCAGTAGTGGGAGTCGTCCTGGAGAGGGTAGTTCGGGAGCTTCTTGTAGTGGCACGGTGCAGCAGCAGCGTCGACTGCGCGAGACTCGTTCGCCCCAGCAGCTTCGTGAGTGGTACGGTCAGAGTCGAGGGTCGCTGAGTACTGCTCGCTACCCGCACGTTATTAGCACGGGTGCCCGGGCTGGTCAGCCTTGCGGGACGCCTGGTCACACAGAGTCTCGCTGCTTCGCCCGTCTGAGCGACGCTTGGCGTACAGAGTTTGGCGACGACGCGGAGCTCCCCGACTGGGTGGAGCTGCTTAGGCAGAGGGTAGATATCTTTGCTCTTGACTATGATGCTATTCTCACTGCAATGTATGCATTGTCTACTAGTGCCGAGGGAGCCTGTCACCTGTGTGTGCCGCCTGACCCCGGTATCCAGTCTGCTGCTCTAGGTGCTCGTGCGTCTCCTGCTCCAGGTGCTGGTGAGGCTGCTGCTCTAGGCGCTCGTGAGTCTGCTGCTTCAGGTGCTTGTAAGTCTGCGCCTTCAGGTACTACGTCTACTGAGGCACTGCACACCTTCACACTGGACTCAGGTGCTTCCCGCTGTTTCTTTCGCGACCGCATTGCCCTCGAGCAGCTCCCTAGACCGGTTGCTGTCTCCCTGGCTGACCCCTCCGGGGGTCCGGTCCTTGCGACCTCCACCACTGCCCTCCCTTGTCCTGCTGTCCCGTCCGGCACGCTGTCGGGCCTTTACCTCTCCTCGTTCTCTACGAACTTGGTGGCGGGTTCTCCGCTCCAGGACGCGGGTGTTCACCAGTTCACCCCTGCCTACGAGCGTGTGACACACTGCACGTGTGCCCGGACGGGTCGTCACCTGGCTACCTTCACTCGGCAGCCGGGGTCGGACTTGTACACACTGACCAATAAGTCCCCTCAGATAGCGGCGTCTGCGTCTGCGTCTGCGTCAGGTCAGTTGTCCGCCCCCTGCTCGTGTCGCACCCTGTCGCACCGGACGGTCCTCTAGCACCACCGCATTGGGCACCCTTCGATGCAGCTCCTTCGTGGCATGCACTCTCGTTTCCTTGTCTCTGGTCTCCCCAGGTCACTGCCTCCCCTGCCACCGTCCCCTGCCCCTCCTTGCCTTCCCTGTGTCGAGGGGCGGCAGCGTGCCACCCCTCACTCCTCTGAGTTTCCCCCGACGGAGGCTCCTCTGCAGACCCTTCACTTGGACGTGTGGGGCCCAGCCCGCGTCCGTGGACAGGGCGGAGAGCGCTACTTCCTACTGGTAGTTGACGACTACACGCGTTAAACCACGGTCTTCCCCTTGCGCACCAAGGGAGAGGTCCCTGCTGTCTTGATCCCTTGGATCCGCGCTACCCGTCTCCAGCTGGAGAGGCGCTTTCGCACGGACCTTCCCGTCCTGCGACTGCACTCTGACAGAGGTGGTGAGTTTTCCTCCGGCCTCTTGGAGGCCTTCTTTCAGGGGGAGGGCATTGAGCAGACGTTCACGCTTCCGGCCTCTCCTCAGCAGAATGGGGTTGCTGAGCACCGCATTGGCTTGGTCATGGAGGTCGCTCGTACCTCCTTGGTCCATGCGGCTGCCCCCCATTTTCTGTGGCCGTTTGCGGTCCGGTATGCCGCGCATCAGCTCAACCTCTGGCCCCGCGTCTCCGCTCCGGAGACCTCGGCCGACACTGCGTTGGACGGGAAAGGTTGGCGATGCGTCTGTGTTCCGTGTCTGGGGATCTCGTGCCTTTGTCCGCGATACGTCCGCGGACAAGCTCTCCTCCCGCGCCGTTCCTTGTGTCTTCCTGGGCTTTGTCCCTGACGCGCCTGGCTGGCAGTTTTACCACCCCACCTCGCGCCGTGTCTTCCCCTCTCAGGACGTCACGTTTGACGAGTCGGTCCCCTTTTACCGTCTCTTCCCTTACCGCACTGCCCCGCTCCCCCCTCCGCCGCTCTTCCTCACGCCAGGTGCTGCTTTGGTAGACCCCCCGCCTCCCCAGGGTCCTGCTCCCTCAGGTGTTTCCCAGGTAGACCCGGTCGAGCCTGTCGAGGTAGCTGTTGACTCTGGCCTTGTGCGAGGTACTGAGCGTGCTGAGCCTGAGCGTGCTGAGCCTGGTGGTGCTGGGTCTGGGGGTACTGAGACTGGGGGTGCTGAGCCTCTGGGTGCAGAGAGAGTGGGGGTGCTGAGCCTGGGGGTGCGGAGACTGGGGGTGCTGAGCCTGGGGGTG